CCAGGATCATATGCAATTTGTTGCTGCTGATCCTCATAAGGTCCCTTTCCTAACAACATATCTAGATTTCTCTGAGGATAACCAGCTGCTGCATTTCGCCTAGCCGTCTCCTTGCAAAATTCCTCATTGGCAACCTTCCATAACAGGTATTGTCCTCCATTTAGCACAGCTTTACACATATTAGCCCAATCAATCTGCTGGCGTCATGTTCAAGTTTTTAATGGATTCCACCATGCTTACAGTGAAGGGTGCTTGAGGACCATAGGTTGTTACAGCCTCTTTTAGCTGCTTCACTGTTTTGAAATTTAAAGCATAGTGAATTCGCTGCCCTCCTGCCTGCTCAAGTACAGGGCATGTTAATATTTGAGATCTTGTCTCAGGATCCCAACTATCAACTGCGGGGGTTGGAGGCCTCCCAGCATATGGAGGTGGCCTTGTTAGTTGGACACTTACGTCCTCTGGTGATAGAAAGGTGTTAGTAGCAGTCTCCTGTAGAGGTGGCGCTGTTGGTTGTAGCAGTCTCCTGTTGTAACTTTTCTCCTGATGGCTTTTTCTGCTCTACACTTTCTTTCTCTGTCTGACTAGCTTGAGAGGCCTTCTCTTTTACTTGAATTTTTTCCTCTGTCTGACTAGCTCGAGAGACCTTCTCTTTTACTTAAATCTTTCTACTATAACTATAATACAACCCAAGAAGATAACGCCAAACAAAACTGAGCCAGAATGAAACAAAAGTGGAACAACAGAAAATCATTATAATAGCTTTTCTATCCTCCTGAAATGTCCATCCATCCTTTCTCCCTATCTGTTTTCCTCCATCTTACACATCTCCAGGGACAGGCAACTTAAAACAAAAGTGAAGCAAAACAAAAGAGGAATCTTAAAATGGCTACCCATCCTCTCGCCCTGCCCTCAGGGGCGAGCAGTTTATCACTTACCCTCAGTCGCTCCCCGTACGAGCCACCAAATGCCGCAGTCTGGCTGGGCACGATTCAGGAGCCACTTGTCAAAAGAAACGAACTTTATTTTTAGAACCACACACGCCAAACAAAACAGCCTCTCAGGAAAACCTTCAGAGCCCAACTGCCACCACCAGCTTCCCACAAGCCTCTCCCTCAAAACACAAGCCTCACCACCTCCCCCCATCCTCCTGCTCTTGAGGCCGATTGGCTGGGTCGCATGGGTGGAGCCAAAAAAGTCCCCCAATGAGCAGCTCTGTGGTCTGAAAGGGCAGGGAAACAGCCCAATGAGCATCACCACAGAGGAGCCAATCAGCTAGATGTTGCTGGGGCCGCTGTGAGCCAATCATCAGCTGGCAGTCAGCTAGATGTTGCTGGGGCCGCTGTGAGCCGGCAGCTGGAAGTTTGCTGGCAGCTGGAAGTTTGTTGGGGCCCCTTCGGCTGTGGCTCTCAACAAACTTACATTTCCCAATTGGAGCATGTGTTCGAGTGGGGCTAGACAGCAGCAGGGGTTCAGAGGCAGGACCCCAGGGAATTTGGTGTCACCTTCCAACATCAGGTTAGGTACTGCTTTGCTGAGGTAGCCACATGCTGCCAAGGAAGGGAAAGACTCCAAATGCAATGTCTCTGTGGAGCAGAGACTTCAGGTAATGCCACGTCTACTCTGGCTGAGGGCACGTCTCCTGAGGAGCACAGCCACGGGGAGACGGCTGCAGGGAGGACCGTGCACTGGAGAGCTGTGTGTGAAGTCAGTGAGCACACTGACTCCTCACAGACCCGTCTTTCATAAAAAAGCAAGGGCCTTCCCCAAGGACATACGCTCACACATTCGACTTCTTGAGACAACAGCACTCTGCCTGACAGACTGAGAGGAGAAATAACATCAATAATTCAAAAAGAAGTTCCAGAAATAGTGAGAGAAGAGTTTTCAGCAGTAGCATGTTACTGTCTGTATTGGAAAGCTGGGTGCTGACAAAGGTGTGCTCCCGTGGGTCCTCAGCAGGCCCCTACTGGGCCAGGAGAACTATGACTTGGTCAAAAAATCCCCAGTAAAACCTGCATGCCCCCAGAAGGAACAAACAAGTAAAGAGAAGTCTGCCACCCACCCGGGGGTCTTCATTCTATGCCCCTAACTCAAGCCAATGCTCAGCGTGGGAGGGACACCATGCCCCACCTAGGAACAGGGCAGGTCGCAGCGTGGAAGTACCCCACAAGGGGCCGCTTCCCTTCCCACAGAGGGACGCACTTCATCGCTGCCTGTCTCCCGGCTGGAGGCTCCGCTGACTCTGAGTCACCAGGAACGTGGTGGTCAGATGAAGGCGCTGGCAGGCACCTTGGCCTTTCCAAAGCCTTCTGTCCTTAGGTTCCAGATTCCCTTGGCCAACACTTACAGTGTTATAGTTCCCAGTCCCCCTGCATGCCCAGCAAGGCCCCTGGGCTCTGCAGTAATCCTGCAAACCACTGGCCCACTCACTTGATGTGATGTATTCCGGAGCTTTCCCAGGACTCAACGGCACGGCCTCCTCATAGTAACCTTCCGGGAGAGAGGATGTCGGCAAAGGTGGAGGCCCACTGTCAGGAGGCTGAGGGGAAAAGGAACACCGTGCTCACATTAGCATGACCACTGGAAGGAAATGGCACATTAGCAGGTGTGGGCTAGCATTTCCTGCTTTCCTTTACCAAGTTTTGTTATAGTTAAAGCTGCATCCCAGGGTTTCATAAACTGACTTCCAGACCACTCTAATCAAGCCTTTATTGAAGCACACCGGTGGCGGCTGACCAGAACATAAAGGTGTCCCCCTGATCAGCCCCGAACAATTGCAAGGGCATTCCTTATAAGCCTGAAAACCGCAAAAGGGATATTTGGGGGTCTAGCCAATGCAAGCAAGCCAGTTTACAGAAACGGGACAGTGCAGTCAAGCAGAGGGAAGCCTAACCAATCACAGTTAGCCCAGTCACCCCAGTTACAGAAACAGAGCCCCGTTACCTTAGTTACAGAAATAATACCCCATTAGGTAGTTCCATGTTCTTAAAGGTTTCTATAGCAAAAGGAAAAGAACATCTTGCTCCAGTCATGACTCTTGGTTGTTTTACAGGATGAAGTCATAAAACAAAATGGAGTCACATTTGCTCCTACTATCACAGTTTATGCCAAAAAAGAGTCATCCTACAAAGAGGCCCGGAAGGTCAGCTCCTGATAGAGTCCCGCCATGCTCCTGTTCACATCCAACTCCCAGGCGCACCCTGCATGTGCCACTCAGGCCCCAACAGGCCAGAGTTCCACACAGGCATAGCACCATCCTGCCTGAGGGTCATCTGCACATTCCGCATCCCAGGCATTGAAGCCCCTTCCCCCAAATCCAGCAGAGCTGCCCCACACCTGCCCTTCTGGCACCTCCCCAGCTGAGACAGGGTGTGCACCCCCTCTATCCTGGCGGTTCCCACCATTCCCCCCTCGAGCTGAGCTCTCCTCATGGCCAGGTCACTCAGGCGAGCTCCTGGAGCAGAGGCGCCAGAACCACATAGCTGGACCAGGAAGGGCTGTCCACACCTCATGGCACTCCTGAAACCCAGGGCGCCAACTGCCTCGGAGCCACCCAGAGAAACTGGAGACTGTGTTCTGGAAAGTGCCTGTGCTGACCTGAGCCCGCCCCTTCACGACAGGGTCCTGACCATGGGGTTGAGGCCCCCTCTGGCCTGGAGGCTGTCATTTTTGCATACAGGAGGTGGGAGTTTCACCCTCAGCACCACCCAGGTCTCATGTCCCCCTTTTCTTCCTGGACTTTGTGATGACTCTAGTCCACACACCACTTCCTCCTCTAGATATCGCCAGGAGCCCCAAGGTCCTTCCTCCAAGAGAAGAGGTGGAGGGCAGGAGATGGGAGCCCTGAGCTCTGCTCACAGGCTACACCGGCCAATCCAGACAGGAGCCTGCTGGCCCTGTGTCGTGACATGGCACAGATGCATACTCGGAGGCCCAGAACCAACACATCCTGCTCAGAGCTGCCTGAGTACTGACCGAGCGGGGTCTGCAGACAACACTGTGTGCGCTCAAGACCTCCCCCCCACCTCCGCCCTCAGTGGTGCGACACTATTCCACACCATCCGCATTCTCCAAATAAATGGGGAAGGAGCATGTCATGGAGAACGGAACCGCACAGCACCCCAAACTGAAGATCTACCAAGTGAATTTCCAAGTAGCACATGTTCCAGTGAAAACACGGTTTCCGTTTTTTATTCTTATGTAAACTCTCTACAACGCAAGTCCATCACTTTCCACTGGACTTGAGTCCAGAAGTCCTCTGTGAATGACTGAGCAGCTGCTGCATGTCCCCATCGCCAGCTGAAGGAGGAGCGCCCACACCAGACCATGAACCCTGCTCCTTCAGACCCTTGAAGATAGCCGCTCCCTTTCACCGGTCCTTGTTCCCAGACTGAACAGCGCCGACCCCTAGCGCTCTATCAGAAGCTGTGTCCCAGTCATCCTCCTCCTCCCACCCTGCCCAAACCCAGGGCCTTCACATCCTCCTGCACAGGCCACTGGGCACTAGGGTTAAGGCCAGGATGGGAGGCCAGGCCAGAGTGAGATCCGGCGTGCTGCAGGACTTCACTCAGGGAGCGTCTTTTGTCTGTGAACGGCAGGGTGCTCCAACTTCCTGGAGGATGGTGAGAGCCTCAGGTCCCTCAGTCCCCCACAGGCAGGGGCAGCATCACCGGTGCTGAGACAAACAGGCTTCTTACCTACAAAGGTCCGACTCTTCCTCAGAGCTGCAAGGCCAAGGTGAGGAAGGCCCAGAGTCTCTTAATGAAGGAGATTCCCACACAGATACTGTTAGATATGGAAAATGGAAAGCTCCAAAATAGTGTGGCCTGGGAAACGGAGGGAAAAAGAAAACCCCACTTTGATCGTTTTCATCCCTTCCAAGACCAGTCCTCCCCAGGTGCTGGCCACAGACCCCCAACCCCAAAACCCAAATTTCTGAGTGACCGCTCACTAAATCACCTCTCAGTATAACGTACATAAGTCCACACTTTCCTCCAGGAAAAGTGGGTCCCTCAGAGACGCGTCACCCTGTTCCTGAATGAAACTCCATTCCTAAATAGAGAGCTGGGCTGACAGTGCAGTCTGCGTCCAGCCCCGGCCCTTTGTGCTAACATAGTGCCATGCGTTGGCATAGCCTTTTAAGAGACATCCTCTAGACCCAATAATTCCACCTTTAAAAACATATTGGTCATGAGGCAAAAAGTTGTAAGAAAGTCCAATAAAAGTTTTTTGTCAAGATCCAAGAACACTCTAAATGTGCACCCAAAGGAGAGCACTGAGCTGGGTGGCCTCGCTCACCACAGGCGTGCAGGGGCCAGGCAGCTCACAGCGCTCACCTGAACACTTCTTGGACACTGCAGAACAAAAACACGACTCTTCTCGGCCCTTCCCTTGTGTGTTTCTGTTCATGTAGTACAAAGACAGAAGGCCACTCACCAAAAACGTTAACCAGCGGTGTCTGGACAGCTTGGTTTCCAACACACCATATGTTACCTTTAAATTCATTTAAAATATCAAAGTATTTTCACTATGAAATAATACCCTTCAAATTACTCCCACAGAAGCACCCTCTCCTCCACTGCTGTATGCCGTTTCCCCTGGGACCCCTTGCAGGGTTCTGACACTTGAGCTTGTCAAGGTCAAATGGGAAGAGCTGCAAAGAGGTGCCAACCTGCGCAGGCCACTGCGTCCAGGGGAACTGGTTCCTTCAGAGCCCTTCCAGTAAGGTAGAGTCCACTGCAGTCATGATCAACGTGACTCTGAAAGGTCCCAAAGGGGGAAGGCAGATTTCCAAAAGGGATCAGAGGACTTTAATTCTATATATTATAGTGATGGTAATCAAATTGTTTTTCTGGTTACAGTAAATAAAATCTACCAAAAGTAATGGCCAAAAATTATATAATCTGAAATAAAAAAGAACTAGGGTTCAAGTAAAACCCATCACACACCAGCAGCACCCCAAGGCAGCCATGCCTAACCCAGCTCCCCACACCTTGGGTCCGCCATGCTGCAAGGGAAATGGGACTGGACTACAGTGATTGTCAGTGGACAACACGGCAAAAATGGTTTCAGCCCTAATACCAAGGAGCGAGCAAACACTCTTCTTTGCAAAATTACAGTCTCCGTGCAAATCCTGCCCATTCCAATCTGATCACTGATCTGCACTCCACACGGCACTTGGGTGCATGCTGGGGAGGCATTCCTCCATGTTTTCTCTAGTTCTGTTCATGCATGACAAGGAGTGACAGGCCCAGGTGGCATGTTCCCTCCCCTTCCTCTTCCACCAGTAGGTAGGCACTCAGAGGAAAGGCAGAGGGCCAGCGGGAACAGACTGCACGTGGGACTCTGGCGGAGAGACTCTGAGATAAAGTGCTGCTAGGATTGCAGGTGGGGTGAGACCCGGAGTTTCTGAAAAGATGACGGAAAGGGAATGAGATGGCTCCCATCCCTGAAAGGCCCACATCTGGCTCCAAGGGCAAACAAGGGTTGCTCCTGCTTTAAGTCCCGGGCATCAGTCAGTGCTGCAACTCCCAGTGCTGCTTGTGTCACATCATCTCAAAGGGATTCCACCTCATCTGTCAACAGATAGCGAAGGTGCTGTGAAGCATGGGGTACAGCAAGAGTGAAGGGCAGCCACGGGGAGGCACCGGACTCCGTTGTTTCATGGGAAGTGGAATGGCGTGAGGGGATGGAGCTGGTGCCTCATGGGGACTGATTTCATTTGGGGAGTCAGAGCTCTGGAGCTGGACAGTGGTGACGGCGGCACAGCAGTGTGCGTGTGCTTAATGCCATGAGCTGTGCACTCAAAATTTGTTATGAGGGCTGGGCAGTGGCTCAGTGGTAAAGCGTAAAGCACTTGCCTGGCATGTGTGAGGCACTGGGTTCGATTCTCAGCACCACACGTAAATAAACAAAATAAAGGTCCATCAGCAACTAAAACTATAAGAAAAAAACTTGTTAAGATGTCAAACTCATGCTATGTCCGTTCTATAAAAATAAACTCCACGGTATCTGCTGGCAGAGTGAGGCTTCCACGGTACATGAGCCCTGGCTCTGAACTACATCGAAGACTCGGACTGTGCCCGCCGCTCTGCACACCGCAACCTGCCGCTCTGCACGCTGCCCAACTCATCAAGCGGGCGTTTGAGGAAGCCTGGCCCAGTAGCATGTGTGCGGCCACATAGCCCCGAGGAGCCTGCCTGCTCTCCCCTCCTCCATCAGGAGGGTGGAAGGCGTCCCTGCTTTTAGACTAGTGCTGTTTGGAAGGCGAGGAAGCAAGGCAGAAAGGAGCCCTAGTGTAAGGGCTGCTGAGCTCTGGTGGTGTGGCCGTCAGCACAGCGAGCCATCTGCAGGGAACCGCTCACTTTCCCCACGAGCTCTCAGCACTGAGGGTGTAGGAGGGACATCAGTTTGAGCCACACAATTCTCAGAGTCAGTCAAAAAAATCTTTTGGCAAACACAGCTCTTCCAGAAAGGGTTTTATCACACTTTACACATTTAGCCTATCACAGTCCACGTGAAGACTAATAGGCCACAGTGTAGTGGTACACGACGTGGCCTCAGGAGAAGCCACAATTCTACAACACACGCGCTTGCCCTCTCAGAAGCCCTCCACAGACATGCTTACAATGCAGAAGCCTCCGGTGCGCACAGGACACCTCAGGCTGCCCGCACGTCTCCTCCAAAGGCCAGCTGGGCACATGCAGACATCCCTTGTTTCTAAAAGCATCACTCGTCACAAAACCGGCCTCCCACACGCCCTGCCCTTGAGCTGTAGGCAGCATGCCCTGTGTACTATGCCATGTGAGAAACAGAAGCCCAAGGAGCGTGCCATCCCCAGCAGCTGGAGGCTGAGCTGAACCGCAGCAGTGTCAAGACAGCGCCCAGCTGCACGCACACCACCAGCACCCGTGGGGACAGAGACGTGACCAATGATCACAACTCCCAATGCATTTGTACCCAAGGACACCGATAAGGCACTGCCCATCTAATACACACCACCCTTCCCCAGCAGTCCCAGGTATCTGCAGTGCTCCAGGACATCTGCTTCATGACGGGACTCCTCTGCCTAGCACACCTCCTCCCAACCATCACACCCCAGAGGAGCAAGCGCTCCTGAAAGTCAGTCTGCCAGGAGCAAGGAGCATGGCCAAAAGCCAGTCCCCCAGGCAAACTTCACTTCCTGGATGGCGACTTACCTGCCCAATGTCACACTCACTGGAAACCCTCCAAAAAATGTAGCAGAGCTGCCCTAACCAACCCCTGACCGACTCTCTGGGCTGCCCGATGTCCTCCAGGCCCTCTGCAGCACGCCCTGCTGGGGTCCATAAAATGCCAACACTCACAGCCAACAGGCCCTCCTAAAGCACCTATGGGATAGCCCCTCAGGACAGCAATGGACCTAACAAGCCAGGTGGACTCTTTAATATTGTATCACTGTAACTATTTGTTTCATTATTATGTAAACAAACAAACAAAAATGAGCACAGAAGGGCTGACAATTCTCTGAGATGCTCTCAAAAGATCTGTCAAGACAAACTGAAAACAGAAACTATCCCATGTCCACCGTAAACGAGCAGACCACACTCACAGAATTCCAGGGACCCTCCGAGTCGGCTTTCTATCACTGTGACACAACAGTTCACATAATGAACTCACAGAGCAAAGGCCCAGGTCTCTTGTGGTCTGGATGTGGGGTGTCCCCACAGCTCCTGTGATGCAGGGTATTCAGAGGTGAGGCCACTGATTGTGCCAGCTGCAGCCTCATTAGCCCAGGCTAGTCTGAATGAGTGCTGGGTGGTACCGGTGGTAGGTGGGCATGGATGGGGGAGTGGGGCCCTGGGGTTGGTCCTTCCCCTCTCTGCTTCCTGCTCCATCATGAGCTGAGCAGCTTTCCTCTGCTGGGCCTTCCCCCAGGACATGCTGCCTAGCCTTGGGACCAGAGCAATAGAGCCAGCCATTTATGGACTGAGACCTCTGAAACCATGAGCCCCACTCCACTCTGCCTCCGCTACATTGCTTTTGTCAACTCAGAAGCTGACTAAAGCGCAGCATTAGAGATTCCAGAGCGTGATGGGCAGACTGGTTGCTTTAGGCCTTTGGTGGGGCACCAGACACTTGCAGCGGGGAGCACACTGCTCACCCCATGGCAGGAGGCCAAAAGTGAGAGCGAGAGGGGGGTCCCACATTGCCCTCTGGGGGCATGACCCCAAGGACCTAAGGCCCTCCCATGAGGCCCTTGTCCTAAAGGTTCACAGCACTTCCCAAAGCACACTATAGGGCCCAAGCTTTCAATGCTTGGGCCTTTGGGGGACATTTACCACATGAACTACAACATGTTCTAGACTCAGCATTATAAAGCTGGGGGTTACTAACTACATGAACACATGCACCAACTGTGCCAAAAAGCAGCGTAACCCAGGGAGTAGCCCCACGTTGGAAGAACGCAGCTCTTGACCTACACCAAACACAATCCCCTCACAGCAAGCAACAGCCTCTCCTGGGTATCAAATAAAAACTCTTGATTCCCAGGTATGAGGAGCTACCAGGGAAAACTGCCCGTTGCTCAAATTGTTACTCAAAAGTTACTTATTTAAAATTAAAATATTGAAAGCATGTTAGTATCTTCAAAATTTTTCAGAACATTTTTTGTTAACCAACTACTGCTAAACAACTGTGAGAAGGAGGGCTTCTCTCTACCTTCAGCCAGGCCAATCTGCCGCAGCCAAAGCCAGGGTGTGTTGGGTGCACCCAGGGCTATATTGCCTAGGCTTGTGTCACTCCACCATGGTGACACAATGACAAAATCCCCTAACGACACATTTCATAGATTGTAGCCCTACTGTTAAGCAACTTGTAACTTCATCATCTTCTTTTTTTGTGTGCTGCTGGGATCAAATCCAGGGCCTCGTGCATACTTTTTACTAGGTAAAAGCACTCTACCACTGAGCCTCATCCCCGGCCCTTTAATTTTTTCAAGTTGCTGAGGTTGGCCTTCAACTTATGACCCTCCAGCCTCAGTCTCCCAAGCACCACTGCACTCAGCAGGAATCTGCACTTTTACAAGATGCCCAGGGGTGCTATGGCTTCAAAAGTGTTGTCCTAAACAGCAGTGTCCTGTCCAGGACAAAGTGGCTGCCAGGCCTACAGCTGACCCCGTGAGAGCACCGCTGAGAGGGCTGGGTCTGGACTCACAAGACGAGGCTGTGACTCTGCTTTTCCTAGGAATATGGCCTTCAGTAGGCCATCATCACTGCACCTCCACCTCCTCTCCTGGGCGATGGCACACATCCTCCACATGAAGGGTGCTTCAGGGCTCTGTGAAGGCTGGCTATGAGGACCAAGGAGGCAATGTGGCCCTCATCTGTGGTCTAACTTACTGCAGCTTCAGCTACTTGCAGTCATTCTTGGTCCAAAAATATTGTGAGAAGCTCCAGAATTAAACAAGTCATAACTTTTAATTAACTTTTGTCACAGCACAGTGTGGTGACTACTCCACGTCATCACCAGTTATTGGTGTTGACTGACTGTGCCTAACTTATAAATGACCTGGGCATGTGTGCACAGAAAACACCACAGCCTGGGAGGGGTGTGGCTGCTGGGGGCCTCTGGTACCCCGTGGGCCTAGGAGGCACCCTATAGATGGGGTACTCTGTACATGAGAATGGGTCACAGGTGATGTGGGAGCCACGTCGGAACCCAGCAAGTGCTGCGAAGGTGACTGGTGGGCACCTCCCAGACCTGGCCCACTGCAGGCCAGGCAGAGACAGAGGTGTATGGGACACGGTCCTGCCTTTCCCTGGCTCATACCCTGACAGGGAGAGAACTGGGTGACTCCTCCCAAGAGCATATACAGAAAGCTAATTGCTAAGTGACCAATTTTGCCCTGACTTTGAATGAAAGTCTAATTTTCCTGACTAAGCAAGTGAGAGAATCATGAAATGCAGAAAATGGTGAAGGACAGAAAAACCTGCGTGTGTGAATCTCCCCAGGTGGGGAAAGGCCAAGGAGCGAAGAAAGGGACCAAACAGATTTCAAATGTGTAAAACCACACAAAATACACATTCTAGAGAGTGCTCTTATTTTTCCTCTCTTAAAAAAATATTGAACACTATATCTCAGAAGAAGCTTAGCGATGAATACTCAAGTTCCAGGCTAAGGCATTCAGGGTTAACCCAGAAAGAAGGTCAAGTCTTTAGGCTCTGCTGGCGTGTTTTGCCTGCCAAATCCTCATTTTTCGGGGTTTTTTTGTTTGTTTTGTTTTCTTAATTTGCTTTAAGAACAGATTCCCAAGAACTTGTAGCTTCAGCAATCTGCAAAGAAACACCACTTTCCTCTGGGATGGCTATACTGAAGGGACTCCCCACAGCTGCACAGCAGCACTGGGCCTAGAAACAGGCATGCCTCGAGCAAAGCAAGGCCTCGGATCTGGGCTTCCACCACCACATGCCCTGGGGCTTAAGGGCAACCAGACCCCCAGGGATCCAGGGACCAGTGCAAAGGTATCACTCACCAGCCAGGGCTGAGGAATCTCTGGCAGAGGCATCTGAGGGGGTGCTGGCAGGCTGCTGGCCTCTTGCTTCTGAGCATGATCCTTCACTTCAAAACCTGCAAGTATTAACCAAACGCACAGAGCTGAAGGAGGAGAAGCAGGGGGCCTCTAGCAGCTATCCTTCCCCAGTCCCACATCAAACACTCTGCACACGCTAGGCTCTCTTAAGTTCTTACAACACTCCTGCAGGTCAGTACATCCTTCTCTCTTTTACCAGTGAAGAATCTATGGGGAGGAGAAGGGGGGAAGGGGAAAGAAGGGGAGGGGAGAGGAGGTGAGGGAAGGGGAGGAAAGAGACAAACTCTACCACACACACACACACACACACAAATCAATAAATGGGTTTTTAAAAAGTTAAAGAGCTGAAGAAAGAATTAGTGAAGTGGAAAATATCAGCAGATGCATCCTGAAGGAGCACGCGAGACAGGGCGGGAAGCATGTCTGCACCCACCATCAACCAGGTCCCCACACCATGCATGTTCAGTGTGCTGGCAGATCCGCCACCTTCCTGACTGGCAAGTCAAGCTCTAATTGCCAGGCCATGGCTTCACAGACCAAACACCAAGACACTGCATACCTGCGATGGTCTGCACACATCTCTATAAGGAAGTGTAAAGGAAAGACCCCTACATCTCCTCCAGCTCTGGACCTCCAAAATCCTAACCTGGTGTCCTCAGGAGGGCCTCTGCCACGCTTGTCTCTCACTGGCCTTGCTGGATTCTCCTCTTCAGTGCCTTCCTAATGCTGCAACGATCCCCAACATCCTTGCAGGCCTCCTCAGTCCTATTTTTCTGTCTTACCCATTTTCAGAAAAGTTCACACAGTCCTCAGGCTTGAGGCTACTAGCTGAGGAGGGGTTGTCCTGCAGCCCTGGCCCTGGGCTGGCATCTGGGAACATGGATTTCAGGTATGTTTCCTGACTGGTAATGCTGGTTGTGGTGCCTAGGCTGCTCATGCAAACAGCGGGGCTTCTTCTGTACACCTGCTTTCATGAGAATCTGGAGTTCTGGAGGTGCCTACACCCCTGAGCCTGAGTCTCTACGCTGCTTCCCTGAACAGAAACAGCACAGGCTGCCACACTTGTGCTGTTGAAGAGTCTGCTCTGGGTGACCCTCGCAGGAGGGGGAGCACACACAAGTCCCCGTGTGGGTTCCCAGGGCTCCTTCAGGCAGGGCCGAGTCTCCTCCCTGCCGTGTGATATGCCCTGGGCATGAACAAGTACCACTATGTGCTAGTCCCGAGTGTACTTCCAGCTAATGTTGGGGTGCTCTGGGTGACTCTAGCACACCCACGATTCTACTGACTCCTAAAGGCTTAATCTTTCTATACCCAGAGGTCAGAAGGAGATGGATGTGCCAGGTGCAGTGGATGAATAACTTGGGAAAATTTGGTGAATAAACAACTTTCACAGGTTACTGGACAAGGGAATGCCCTTCAGAAGAAGCAGAATTAAAGTGGTGTCAGAGCCAAAAGAGCCTGGGAAGAGGGCAACGAGGTTGGACGTGACTACCTTTGGGTGACTGGATCCGCAGCAGGATGTTGGTCAGCGCGGCCTTCTTCTCCCTGACAGTTGCAGTGAGATACTCATGGTCCAGGAGTTCAAGAAAGAGGCGAAGTTCCACTATTAACTCTTCCATTGCTGGAAACTAAGGAGAGAGCAGGAAGAATCTCATTAGGCCCATTGATTTGCAAATGCCAAAACAGGAAGCTAAGCCTCACTTGGAGCCCACTGTCCTTGGCTTGGTGGCCATGGAATGCACACCCCAACATGAGAGGCAAGTGTGCTGGAGCCAGGGACAACAGATTCACGCACCATCCTCTTTACAAAGGCCTCACTCCTTCCCTTTTGCTTTCAGGCACCAAAACTCAGCTGGGAAAAGTGCCAAAGCTGGCTGCCAATAGATGGTGTTGTACCCAAAAGCTTGTGACTCTGCATGGGTGTCGGCATGTGATATTAAATTTCAATGGCAAGGAGGAGATGGGAGATTAAAATGCCGAAGCATTCGAGTAAGCATTCGAGTAAGCATGGCACGGCTTCAGAAGCACACCAGCCTCTGTGCTGCAGGCTGGCTCCACTGCCAGGACGCCAGTGAGCACGTTCCACCCCACAGCAAGGGAGGCTGATGCCCGGGGATCCCACCAGGTCTCTCCTCAGATGTCCACAGCCATTTATGCCTGCAGCTGTAACTGACGGTGTGAACCTGGGGAACTGCAAACCCTGCTGGGGGTCCTCATGTCCACACTATCTCTCGACACTGGGGCCTTCCGGGCCTATTCTACAAACCTGAGGGCAAAGGGCAAAGCCACTAGCACCTGAGCACCAACATGCCAGCCCCCACAGGACTCTCCACAGGTGAACAAGGGCCACTCTAAGGTGTACTTGATGCTGACTGTGTGGTAAAACCACTGCTTCTATTAAATCTCCGCCCTTGAGGCCACCCCCCTTTCCCATCCTGTCAAATAAGTGGTGCTCCTGCAGACGGAAGCAGGCTGGCTTTTGGAAAATTCACTGGCGCAACCACTGGATTGGGAGCCTCCTTAGGCCACTGCTTTCATGTAGATTGAAAGAATGAATGACAGGCCAGCTATGACTATCCAGACTTGAGCACCTGGCAGACACGTCCTCAGAAAGGAGCAGAGCGGGCTGGGCTGTGGCTCAGTGGTAGAGAACTTGCCTAGCAGGGGGGAGGCACTGGGTTTGATCCTCAGCACCAAATATAAATAAATGAAGAAAATACAGGTCCATCAACAATGAAAAAAAATAAATAAATTATATATATATATATTTATAAATATATATATATATATTTTTTTTTTTTTTTTTTTTAAAGAAATGAGTAGAGTGCACTGTCACTTCAAGGTGGATGACTGACAGCATTTTTTCCCCAATGATAAAATTTGAGCTTCCAAGTGAAAATAAGAACTTTGGAAAATGTGTATCCACCAGTGGAAGAGCTTGACAGTCTCCCTATACCAAGAGCCTGTCCTGTTGGGATCAGGAGTGCCATCAACACACCTGAGTCTGCTGATGTTGCATAATGTAGTCTACATCTGCGAGGTCTGCACAGATGTTCTAAAATCACATGTTGATAAAAGATCCACCATAAGTACCAAACAAACTGCAGCACCCAGCATGGCGGAGGAGAGCACAGCCCGGGCCTTCACCTGGCAGTGAGCTTTGGCCGTGCTACCTCGTGTGTGTCAGAATCGCCATTTTCGACAAAGGCTGTTGGAAGCCTCCTGTCCCCAACCACTCCTCTGAGCAAGACCAGGCTTCTCCATGATGATGCCTCGGGACAGTGTGGGTGAAGGAGAGGACCTAGAACGCAGGTGTCTCTACTAAGCCAAGGACAACCTGCTCAGAAGCCTGGAACACACCGCTCTTCTTATCTCGTTTTGGCAAATGCTGCTGCTTTTCATAAACATGTCTTAAATGTGTTACCGTGAAACAGGCTGATCGAGTTTAGTGAACTGATCACCATCTTAAAATGTGCCAGTTTTAAACGGTAATGTGATAAATGTCCACATTTTCACCCACACAAATAAAAGCTCTTTGGGGGTCTTCAAAATATATTTTCAGACTAATAAGTCTGTGAATTGCTAATGTAGGCAGTTTTTTCATTTCTTCATCCATTCACTCATTCAGCAAACATCCTGTGTCAGAAATACACATCATGCACCTTGACTGAGGAAAACATAATGAAAATGATTCACACAAACACCTACTCAAAGGGTTAAAATGGCCAGTTATTGTCAGGTTCTTTTTTAACCCTAATTAAAAAAGAATCTGACAATATCAAAATATCAGAAGAGGGTCTCAGAGTGCAATGCCTAACTTAGGTTCCTCATGGTGCTCCTACTGAGCACTCTGTGCAGACCTCTCTGAATCTCAGATTTTAACCATCCTGGGGTCAGGGTGCCCAAACCACACCCCTCTCCTTGGGAGAACAGCTCCCAACAAGACCCCGCAAATCATCTCCCACGCAGCACGGCGGCTAGAATTAACTAAGCCTAAGCCAAGCTGTTCAACTGGATTCTCCTTCCTGTATGTTCCACCAGGGAACCAGAAAGGCCAGCCATATCAGGGTCCACAGAGCAGTGTGAGGACACGCACGCCAAAGAGGAGAGCCACCCCGGGAGGGAGAGACACAGCCAACATCTCAGAAGTCAGCGTGCTGGGGCAGGAGACCCCGTGAGAGGAAGAATTGGGTGATGATGTGACTGGGCCCGCAGACTCTCCCACCCCACTGTCAGTTACCTAGGAAACTGAGATGCACTTGAGGTCCATTAGGACATTCATCTCCTTCTAATAAATTCTCATTTTATCTTTTTATTGAGTGAATATGGAGTTAGCTTCTGTTTACCTGATATTGCCACCAAAAGACACTCAAAACCAGTCACAGCATCTCAGGATGCAAAGCATCTCCCTGTCAGAGAGCTGCGACAGACAGTTAGAGAAGGGAACGCACAATAAACCACATTCCACACTTGGCCGTCCTTTTAATACTTGCCCTCTGTGTCCCACCTTCTTAGTAGACACCTATAAGGTTTATTTGGGTTTTGTGGTGTTTTGATATTCTCATGCAGTCTAGCAGTCTCATGCTTTGCTTATCTCCAAACACCTTCCTGCTGCCAGGAGCTCAATCCGCACAGAAAGCACGCAAAGGTTCCTGGACAGGGAAATGGTGTTTCCAGAGAGCTGCGGCAGGAAGGCTCTGGGTCTGCCACCACAAGGGCACTTGTGCTGCCCAGCTCAGAGTGGACATAAATACTGCTGGGGTCAGGTGTCAAGGAACTACAGAAGCACAGCACTCCAGAGAGGAGCCGTCTGCAGGGCGCAGAGACTTGGCAAAGGAGCAGGCAGCGTGAGTGCCATGTAGGCCCTGCCTCCTGGGGAGCACCAGCCAGCACAGATGGAAGGTGATGGCATCAACTCCCAGGCACATGGGAGAAGGCTGTCTAGAACATGCCCCAGCCTCCTGGCCAACAGGCCCCTCCTCCAGGTGTAGGCAGCGGCTTGTAATGGGCGATGGAAGGCACGCCACTAACACGGCACGGCCACAGGTTTCCTTCCAATTACTGTTAATTAAACTGAATGATCAAATAGCTTTTAGAAAGACAACAGGTAAACAGGTGGAAACAGGGAGCCAACTGAGGATCAGGTCAAGGAAGGAAGACAGTGGGCTCACCCCTGACGGTCACTGCACAGTGAGGACGATGGCCCGGTTCTCAGCGCACTTCAGAGGAGAAAGTCCTTTAGCAGTGCAGGTGCACACAGAAATTCTGCCCAGAGGGGGCCACACCCACATTAGCATGGGACTGACTTGCAATGAAGCCCCCTGAATGGGATGGCCACTGTGACAGCTCCACAGAGGACCAACAAGGTCAGAAACTCCATGGCCTGATGTGAAGGAGGAAGGAAACCCCGACTGTGAGGCTGAGGAGGTGCACCCCACTCTTGAGGCAACCAGAAAAGAGCAGCAGATTCGGAAGCAGCTCCCTTCCCTCGGCGACGTTCTCTGCTGGGGGACCCGCTTCCCATTTGCGCACGCTCCAGCTCGCCCCCCACTTTGTCTGGCTTGGCTTTTCGTGTCTGACTTGAACCTTTCCTCAAACACCAGAGCCAAGGTGTGGAGCCTCAGCTCCCTCTCTCCTGGACAGCCAGGGCTCACAAGGCCAGGGAAACCCAGGGACCCCCCCCACTTCCTGGTGCCACTCCCTGCCTTGGCTTTAGACAGGCATTTCTTCACCATCTACAGACAGAGAGGCTAAGACTACAATGACACCTTTGCTCAAGCCCACAGGGTTCAAGTCAAGAGCTTGCCTTCCACGTCACAGCCTCTCACGCCGTGATAGTGACTCTCCAAGTTTTGCTCACAGAGAACGAGGACACTAACTTCTCCAAGACGACATGTGAATAACCCATGTCCACCACATGGAAAGGCTATTAGCACAGTGACATCCTTCAAGACCACTGTCCAACTGCACCCTACACCACCGTTGTCTAAACTCTTCTCATGGTAAAAACCAGAATCTTCTAGTTGGAAGAAGTCTGGGCAGGACTCATCCAGCTCTCCCAGTCACCTGTGGAAACCCAGTGCAGGGGAGCTGAAGAGGCTCCTGGAGGCCCTGGAGGCCCTGCCATCTGTGCAGCCCAGCCCCCGTCCCAGGGCTCTGCCTGCACAATCACAGACAGTTAAATTCTCATAGGCAAATGCTCATTTGATCCTTACAATGTTATTACAGATGGCAGAAAGGGGCGCAACTGGCCGAGGCAGCAGGCTAAGAATGGGCACATCTGCATGGGAGCCCCTCACTGGGCCAACACCCCAGCCCAATACCTGCCACCTTATACTGCACTCAGACTGGGGTCAAGGACACAGGAATAACTATCTTCCAGGAAAAGCATCTTCCCCAAATGCGCACAGCAAACAGAAGACCTGCCCTAGAACTCTCCCAGGGCAACAGGGCAGCCACCGCAGGCAGCTCCGTAGATGCTCCAGCATCTCAACAGTGAGTCCTCCCCCAAGCCAGAACCACTCAGCTCTCCCATACTGACCAGCGTCCTGCAAGTCCCAAACAAGAAGAGAACAAGTGAGCCAGAGAGAAGAAGAGACAAGAGCCCACACAGCCAGCA